GCCTTCGGTAGGGATGGAAGGTCCTTCTCAGACACATTTGGTTCCATGGCTGGTTAATGGGCAGGGGGAAGGAGGAGGTGGGAAATTCCTCTGGATTTGACTAGACCTTAAAGCAGTGATGGCGAACCTTTTGAGCTCGGCGTGTCAGCATTTTGAAAAACCCTAACTTAACTCTGGTGCCGTGTCACATATAGAAATTTTTTGATATTTGCAACCATAGTAAAACAAGGATGTATATTTTTGATATTTATTTTATATCTTTAAATGCCATTTAACAAAGAAAAATCAACCCCCCAAAAAATGAGTTCGAGTGTCATAGGTTCGCCATCGCTGCTTTAAAGTGATGATCCGCTTCAGGGTGGTGCATCCACAGCAGCAGATGTTCAATCTACAAAGAGTAACCCTCCTGGTTGCATTCCTGCTATATTTTGTTTCGCTAAAATGACAGTCTTCTCCCCAGCCTTCCGTGTTGCCAGGCTCTAGGAAGGGGGTGCAAGGTGGGAAGGAAGAACTCTTGCCTCTCCGTGCTATTATGATTGATGGATGTTTCACCCAGGACATCCTCAAAGGCGCTTGTGGGCCTCACTTTGGAAGTTTTCCCTTTAATCTCACTGGAGCTCATAAGAACTTGTGTGCTCAAATGAGGATTCTATCATGTACTCCAGAGCCAAGGAGATGGCCTGTGATGACTCATAGGCTGAGACACCGTGCTTGGCGGAACCAAGCAAAGCTGCCTGACCCCACAGGAGGCTACAGAATTAGCCACGCATCTCCTCAACAACAACCACCTCAATATGCTTTGATATGAAACTCATCATGTGTTATCAAGATGAACACCAGTAGAACTCTCAGAGCTGAGTCTAGTCCAGACAATGGTTTGCTGGAGGGAGATGGTATTAGGGTTTTAGAAGGCTGGAGAGGCTTCTAACAGTTTATTTTCTCACCCTCCTGGCCAGACCAGCTCCCCTCGCTGCCCTCACCTCTGTTTTATTTACACCTTTTTATTACAGCTCCTGTCTCTCCTCACTCCCAGTTCAGATGACCTCTAAACTCCGTCCCCAGAGGCAGAAACTACCAGAGTCCTAAGTGCAGCTAGGAAAACCTCCTGGAGCTTTTGCATCTGGCAGTGAACATCTCGCTTCTTAACCAAACTTGATCACTGGCAAGAAGAACCTCACTCCAAATCTGGCCCCTTGCCCAGCTGGGTCGGGTGCCAGGGTGTGGCTGGCACGAGACTAAGTTCTTTAATGTATTAACAATAGTGCTGCATTTAATAAAAGCCGAAGAGCTTCTGAACACACATGCTATAGGAGAAAAGAAGCGAAGTAGAGCCCAGGAGCTAAGCAGAAGCAGGGTCTGTGGTTGGAAGGAGTCGGTGGGGGGGGGGGGGGGGGGGGATGGGCCAGGAAGGCTGATGTCACTTAAGACCAGAAGCCCAAGGCCCTAAGGACCGTGGAGGAATCTTTGCTCTATTAAGGCAATAACAATCCGTTAATTCATTCCACAAACATTGATTGGAACTGTTCTAGATGACAAAGATCAGCACCAGAGATGGCTGAATAAAAGGCAAGGGTATTTTTCTGAGAATTTCCCTTCAAAAAAGACCAATCCAAGCAGTCTTACACTGGGATCCATAGCCTCCTTGCTTACCTACATGCTTGCTGCCTTCCTTCCACCCTTCATTCCTTCCTCTCTTCATCTCTCTCATTCTTTCTTCCTCCCGCCTTCCCTTTTCCTTCCTTCTTTTTTTTTCCTTCTTTTCTTCCTTTTTTTCAGTAACCACAACTGTCTGGGGAAGACACCTTAGCCTGAAATGACCTCACTGCTACTTCCTTTGTTTGTAAAGATTATCTGATGGCGCTGGTGAAAAAAATGAGTAAAGAAATTTGAACACAGATTTTGTAAGTCTCCCCCGAATATAATCTCATAATGAAGAGCTGCATGTTTTTGTAAACAAGGCTTTCAAAGGTCACTGGTGGTGACAAGTATATACCTATTGAGTAAATGGGGAGAAAAGCTGTCCTTATGTGATGCTAACAGGTAACGGTGGTTTGGTTAAAATTTTCAATGTCAGCATCACATGCGAGCTCAAAAAAATATTGTCTTTCAAACTACTGTCCGAACTCTCTTATATAAAGGCATTAATCTCCTTTATGGCAGCTCCACCCTCATAACCAAAAGCCCCACCTCCAAATACCATCACATTGGGGGGTATGTTTCAGCATATGAATTTGGGGGAACACAAACATTCAGTTTATAGCACCCAGCCTCTCAGTTCTATGACCTACTCTACACCAACGGCCTTGTCACCTCTACTCCCTCCCACAGCCATACCCTGGAACCTGTCGCTACCACTGACGGCAGCCCTCAGTTACCTCAGTTTCTAATGCCCCAGCCCCAAACCACCACCAGGCCCTGTCTTCAGGAGCTTGTATTTTTCTCCTTTTCTTTCACAGACTCCAAAAATTCTTCTTCCAAGTGAGACCTACAATCTATGTATACTCAAGTATGCTTTTAGTAATAATTTCCCCCTTCATTGCTTCATTGCCCTCAACTTGGATTTCACAGCTCATCGTCACAGAACTTCCTTTTATATACCCCAACTCTCTCCATTGTATTTGCCTGTCAGAACTTCAACCATGGCTGACCTACCCAGTAACAAGATGGAGAAGCAAAGCGACAACAAATGTCTCTTCCTTTATCTCTCATCCTGCTTCGGACATGGCTCCATTTCTCTGCCCCCTTTAGAACTCTTTAAGAGGCGTCCAATTACTGTCATCAATTTCTTTTCTCCCTTCTTGTTGGAGCTCACACTCACTGACTTTGTTACCTTGCTCCACTGAAACAGCTCATTTCAAGACCCCTGAGGACGTCCAGGTGTCAAATCTAGTGGGCTAGCCTCAGACCTCACCTTTTTTGACCCATCAGCAGCCTCCTTTGATGGAGTAGATCACTCCACCCTCCTGATTTGGACATGCACTCCCCTTGGATCTCCTCTGACCTCGCTGCTTCTCCTTACATTTCTCTGACCCTAAACTTTGGAGTATACCAAGGTTCAGGCCTTGGGCCTTGCCTCTATCACTCCTTTGTAATCTCATCCAGTCTCATGGGCTACATGACTCCCAAAGTTAAATCTCTACCAGCCCAGAACTCTACCCCAAACTCCAAACTTTGATCTCCAATTGGACTTCTCTACTTGAATATCTAATGGACATCCCACCTTAATATCACCGATCCCTCCAGTGTGTTCCTCTCGATCACCTTCATCACAGAAAAGAACAATCCCAGTTGCTCAGGCAAAAGCATCTCAGGGTCATCCTTGATTCCTTTCTTCCTCTCATGCCCTCCATGCGACCAATTAGTGAATCATGTTCATTTACCTTCAAAATACAGCAGAACCCAGTGCTTCTTATCACTGCTCCCAGAATGATCCGAGCCACCATCACCTCTCAGCTGGATTATTTTGGTAGCCTCCTAACTGGTCTCACTGCCTCCATCCTCATTACCATCCCTTCTCCATCAAGCAGCTTAAGTAAACTTTTAAAAACTCAAGTCAAATCAAATTATTCCTTTCCTCCAAACCCTCTGTAGGCTTCTCATCTCATACAGAGTAAAAGCCCAAATCCTTACAATGGCCCACAGGCCTAATGTGATCTGGTCTCCAGTGACCTCCTCTCCTACTTCTTCCCCACATCACTCTGCTTCAGCCACGGTGGTCCCTGTTCTTGGATCCAGAAAGCACAGTCTTACTTTGCGATTTTTGTACTTTGAATATTCCTTTTACTAGGACAGTTTCCCCAGAGAGTCACATGGCTTGCTCCCTTACTTTAGATGTCACCTTATCAAAGACAACTTCTCTGACTACCCTATAGAATGTCAAACCTACCTCTACCCCTGTCTTCCCGCCCCCTTCAAGTCCTGCTTTACTCGTTCCCCTTGGAGAGGCAGAAACTAGACACTAGACAAATAAGAGCATGGAAGGCAGAGACTTTGTTGTCCTAGCAGTGATTTTGGAGTAAAAGCCAAATCCTGCCCTCTCTCCAGCCTCACCTTTCACCCTATGTTCTAAGCCACTGAGCTTTCCCGCACCTCTCCAAGTGACTCCCTGCTCAGGCATCATTGCCACTCTTCCATACACTTGGAATCCCAACTCCCCCTCCTTTGCCTGACAAGCTCAAGCCCGTAACTCCAGTGCAAGGGTCTCCCTTGGGAAGTGTCCCAGCCCCTGCCAGACCAGCCAGGATCCCTTGCCTGTGCCTGCACTCTGCTTTGCACACCTTCTCCTTGTCAATGACAAGGCCCAATCTGTCTTCCTCCTCTGGTCTGTGAGCTCCTTGAAGACACCATGGTGTCTCATCTCTCACCTTCACCTCTGATCCCTAGTCCTGGGCACTCAGTTGAATTGTTGGTTAGCTCAGGAACATTGTGGTATTAGGTGTGGCAACAAAGGCCTCTTGAGCAATTGTGGGCAATAAGGAACTATTCACCTCCATTTATTGGGCAGGGGCATCTATGTAAAATATTTTATTTGCATTTCACAAGAACACCTTGTGAGAGAAGTATAACCATCTCTATTTACAGATGGGACACTGAGGCAGTCAACACATGCCATTGGCCTTCCCTTCTGGGGTAGCTCATTCATCTGAGGGGAGGCCTCATTGTGAGAATTCTTTAGAGTTCTCTCATTTTATTTAGTCCCACATCAACTCTAGGAGGAAGACAGCAGATTTCTCATTTACAGAAGAGGTCAAAACAAGACTTCCATAACGACAAATCCAGGACTTCAAACATTGTCACCTGAGACTGGGAGTCAAATGGGACACCAGGTGGGAGTGAAGCAATACCTCAGGGACAGCATTATCTGGAGGAGCTGGCACAGACCAAACAGGAGAGGGGTCGGGGTTCCAGGAGCCTTGGGCCTTCCTCTCCCTCCTCCTTAGGAGACAACCAACTTGATCTCTCCATCGCCATTCCAGGGGGTGTTTAACTATGTGCCTTATAGCTTTGCGCAGTGGCAGTATCGTACCCAATGAGGTTTATCTGAGGCGTGATTATTGTTAAAAAAAAAATTTTTTTTTTAAATGTATGTGCCTCATGTGTGGGATGCTGGGATAGATTTCTTGTCCTTAAAAGGGCAAAGGCTGGGTCTACACAGAGCTGGGTTGTTGGGACTGGCCAGCCAAGGGAGCAGGAGGGGAGATTGAGCACAGACAATCTGTGGTGAGCATCCGGGTCTGATGAGGGCTGGCAGCTTCTGGTAGGAGCTTCACCTGGCCAGGTTGCATATTCCAAGCACAGGAAACCACCACAAAATACACAGGGCTTTTCACAACCTGGGCTGAATGCAAATAATTCAAATTGCATGGAAATGCAGAAGCCTGACTTCCTAGTTTAAGAAACACTTGAAAAAGTGGTAGCACTTCCCAGAAATGTTTTAGATGCAGAGAAGGCGTGGAAATGTCCTGGGTGTTTCTGTTTTACTTCCAGAAAGGAAGCAGTGAGGATTAGCAACGGTGCCATAAAGGACACAGGGCCTGGTTTGCCAACCACTTAATAAATGGTAGTGGGGGTAACCAAGATGGCCACGTAGGTACACGAAGTACTCCCATCCTTCCACAACCACATCAAAATTACAGCTAAACTACAGAACAATCGTAATTCAGAACCACCTGAAATATAGCTGAACAAAAGCCCTACGACTGAAAATATAAAGAAGAAGCCACATCGAGACTGGTAGGAGGAGTGGAGATGTGGAACAGGTGGTCCCACACCTGTGTGTGGCAGCTAACATTTGGGGGGGATAGTTCTACTGCAGAGGTCTCCCTTGAGGGTCCAGGGGACCCGGCCCCACACCAGGCTCCCCAGCCCAGGGTTCCAGTGCCATGAAGAGAAGTCCCCATAACTTCTAGCTATAAAAACCAGGAGGGATTGTGGCTGAGTGAGATGGAGAGTGCTAGAGTCCCAGCAGTTCCCCTTAAAGGGCCCACACACTGACTTACGCAGACTCATGTGCTCTAAGTTCCAGAGCTGGGGCAGCAGCTCAAAAAGCACCAGGGACACATGTGAAGAAACGGAATTATCTGGCATTGGGGCGAGAGGTGGGGGGGCAGCTTCCTCCCAGGCGGAAGTGCTGGCAGAGGCCATTGTTCCTTTGCTGAGTTCTCCTCCAACCTCCCACAGAGCTGGCAGGCGAGTGCCGTGCCTGAATCTCCATCAGCTTAGCTAACACTGTTCCACCCACCTTGGTGATTCCCTGAGACCCCACCCGACCTGTTTCCAGTGGTGTTTCCATATGAATGGCCTGTATTAGCTCATGCTTCAGACTCTCCTAAAAATCTCTCGAACAAGGAGCATCTGGCCTCAGCATGCCCTGTACCTCCCTCTAAGTGGCCCCAGGCCTGGCACTAATGGCAGCCTGGTTGGTTCTCATCTAGGCCTCTGCTGGGACAAAACCCTGAGATGAATGGAGATCACGGCCTGCAGGCAGATGCCCTCGGTAAGTGCGGACAGGGTGCCCACAGTGTCTGCTCCACGCTCTGCCTGGTCCAGGGTGACCAGTCTGTTGTGACAATAGATCTCAACCCCAACAACTTGCTCCTCCTGAAAGACAGGCCTGACCGAAAGTTCCCAGGGGAGGTGGTGCAGCCCTGAGGGGCAGACGGGCTTTAGTCAGCCAAACCTGGGTTGGTGCAGGTGGTGTGACTTCAGGCAAGTTTCTGGACTTCTCAGCACCCTCATAATAACCCGGGGTAATGTTTCCTGCCCACAGGTGTTGGGTGATTCCCCTCAGCCTTCTCTCCCAGATACTTCCTTGTCACAACAGTTAGCACTTGCTGCCCCCATGGCATCTGCACACAACCTTCCCCACACACAGAAACACAACTGCACCCAAGCCCAGACCTGCTTCCTGGAGAAGATCTGGAAGGACAGTGCTGAGCGGCCACTGGGGACATAGATCCTGGCCGGGGCCTTCCTGGCCTGACACCAGGTTCCAGACCTACACACACCAGACGACAGTCCCCTGGGCAGCGGGAAGAGGATTTCAGAACTTCTTTTTATCCTCATTTTTAGTTTTACTTCTAATGTTTTTGCTTTTGCTTTATAATAACCGCAATAGAACTGTGCAAGTGCATAAGTTATCGTACATAACAATACATATGCCAGGGTATGCGCCCCCAAATGTCTTATGGGTGTGTGACCCGGAAAGTTTGGAGACAGCGGCCATGGATCCTCTTCCTCGGCCTGGATAGTTCACAGCTGGCCTTTTCCCGCTTGGTCCTCTCTCCACACCTGCAGTCTCATTCTCTCCTCCGAAAACGGCCTCTGGCTGAGAGCCAGCCCCTGGCTTCTCAAGGTTTATAAGGGAAAGTGTCCCTTGTTACTGGCATAATTACCACAAGAGGCCCAACCTTGTCCCTTCCCAGACGTGGATCCCCTTCCTGTGGCCCCTCTCACCTCCACCAGCACCACCACCACCTCCCACACCTGCTGCTTTCCTAATCAGAAATCCCCAGGGTCTTCCTGTTGCCTACCGACCCAGCCCCGTTTCCTGTGTCAGCTGACCTGAGCCTGCCCACTTCCCAGCCACCTCCCAGGCTTCTCATTCCCAGACCTCTGCTCCAGCCAGACCAAGGCCCCCCCCCCCCCCCCCCCCCCCCCCCGCACAACTCGGCACTCAGCCAGGCCTCCCTCTACCACAGCTGCCTCATCAGCACGGTGAGCAGGCATCTCCCCTTCCCACAGCCTGTGCCCACCCACAGAGGACAGGTGTTCCCCAAGGGGATTGCAGCCTGTGGTCTGGGATGTGGCAGGTACCTGGATCAGGGGAGAGTAAGAGGTTAGCCCTGGCCCAGGACAGAGATGGGGCTCCTGTCATGACCTAGCCCAGTGGTCGGCAAACTCATTAGTCAACAGAGCCAAATATCAACAGTACAACGATTGAAATTTCTTTTGAGAGCCACATATTTTAAACTTAAACTATATAGGTAGGTACAGTGTTATTAACTTAATTAGGGTACTCCTAAAGCTTAGGAAGAGCCACGCTCAAGGGGCCAAAGAGCCGCATGAGGCTCGTGAGCCGCAGTTTGCCCACCACTGCCCTAGCCTATCCTAAGACACAGCATGGTCCACGTGCCTGGGCCCCTCTGCCAGGGCAGCGAGCAGCAGTGGTTGTTGGGCAGGGGCAGGGAGTGGGAGCTGGGAGAGCCTGGGACATGGTGGGTGAGGGGAGTGGGTGCCGAGACCATGCCCTGAGGAGGTGGCAAAAGACAGGAGGGTGTGTGAACGGAGGCTCCATGCCACCAGCACAGGCTTCATTGTCCCATTGCTTTTCACTTACAAAATACAAACTCAAGGAGAAAATTATTAAAAACGTCAAGACAATGCACTCAGAGCATTAAATGCCGACTGCAGGGCCGTTCCGACCCTGGGGCCTGTGGGACACCCCTGGCCTCGCTCCCCTAAGTCAGGCTAGATCGTGAACACAGGTTATGTATGTTGAATCTCTTCTTCAAAGTCACCGTCTCCCTGAGGGAGGCTCCTGCCATGGCTGATACACGAGATGCCATGCGGTGATATGCAGAGAAGCACGTTAAACACTTGAATTATTTAGCATTTATTTGAATCTGTGTTCGAAAAACACATGACTATCACATTCCATCTATAATTTCACAGTGAGACTAGCTTAGTCCGTTCAGGCTGCTATAATAAAACACCGTAACCTGGGTGGCATATCAACAACAAAAATGTATTTCTCACAAATCTGGAACCTGAAGTCGGGTGCCAGCGTGGCCCAGTTCTGGTGGGGGCCTCTTCCAGGCCGCAGATGGCCAACTTCTCATTGAAAGAGAGCAGGAAAGCTCGCCAGGGCTCCCCCTGTGAGGGCACTAATCTATGTGGGGATAACACCCTCATGAGCTCATCACCACCCAAAGGCTCCACCTCATAATACCATCACATTGGGGGTTAGGTTTCAACATGTGCATTGTGGAGCGACACAAACGTTCCATCCATAATAGGTATGTAGACTCCCTTCGAAATACATTTATTGATAAGTTGCTCTAAAGAAAAATATTAAGTAAATAATAGTATGTGTGATTCTCAGAGATGGCAAAGCACGTAAAGATGGTGCCCAGAGTTTGGGGAATACGGTGCTGGACTGTAGCTTGTCTTTACAAGCCCCTCCTCTTGCCCATCAGCCCTTCCTCTAGGGCAGTGGTTCTCAACCTTCCTCATGCCGCGACCCTTTAATACAGCTCCTCATGTTATGGTGACCCCCAACCATAAAATTATTTTCGTTGCTACTTCATAACTGTAATTTTGCTACTGTTAAGAATCGTAATGTAAATATCTGATATGCAGGATGTATTTTCATTGTTACAAATTGAACATAATTAAAGCATAGTGATTCATCACAAAAACAATATGTAATTATATATGGGTTTTCCGATGGTCTTAGGTGACCCCTGTGAAAGGGTCATTCGACCTCAAAGGGGTCGCGACCCACAGGTTGAGAACCGCTGCTCTAGGGGCAGCCAATGCTGAATAAACGAATAAGCAAATCAACCATTGAAAGCTTGGACCCACAGTCTGAGTCTCTCTCTTCTTTGAAATTTTTATTTGTACGACTTTTCCTGATTAATTGACTTAGGAGTAATTCCTAGACATGTTAGAAAAATTTGCTCAAGAAATTAATTCCTCTTTACAATATACAGAGCTTTCCCGGGCTGGTGTGTCTCAGTGGGTTGAGCGTTGTCCTATGCACCAAAAGGTCTCCAGCTCATTCTTGGTCAGGGCACATACCTAAGTTGCGGGTTCCATCCCCAGTCAGAGCCTGTCCAGGAGGCAACCAATCAATGTTTCTCTCTCTCATTGATGCTTCTGTTATGGGTTGGCTCAGCAAGATAGACCACCGACTCAGAATTTAAATTTAAGAGCCTTTATTAAGCTGGCCAGCTGACTACAGTTACAGCACCCTGCCGAAGCAAAGGCTGAACTGCAGTACAGACTGCAAGAGTTACATTTTATTATTAAATTTTTTGGAGGCCCAGAGAAAATGTGTCTTTCGAATTCTGGGCCCCCCAATATGGAGGAAACTCTATTTATACTTTCTCCAGTCCTTTGTCTCCCAAATTTG